CAACTCCTTGTCCAAGTAGCACGCCTCATTTGTCTTTATTTGTTGACATGTCAACAACCCTAATTGAAAGAATGCTGAATTTATGGCTAAGCAAATCAGAGCTCTCTTTGAATTTATGGTGGTGTTCTATATTTCATTACACGAAATAGAGAACCGTTATATCATCGTTATATATTTATATATACATCCATACATAAATATTGCTCTTGTTGTCGCATTGTAATTTTTATGCCGATGAGGATCATCCGAATGATTATCATCTCCAGCATTGGCTGATTAAATGAACTGCTTCAAGTAAATAATAAAAGCAACGTGTCCTAGAGAAAATTTCAAAACTCAATCAAGGCTCTGTTTAACCTTCATCTAAAATTCATTTCTCCTCAAAGCTCATTTTTATTCACAAGTTCATTTAAATTCACTACTTTTATGGACTTCTTAGTTACACGTTTCATCAATTTTTATTAAAATTTATTAAAAATCTGATTTTTAACCTAACCAAACCAAACATGAACTAAATATAAATACACAATATTTGGTGTCAGTGGGCATTTGCTAATCCAAATTTAAATCTAACCTTGTGTCAGGACCAACGCCAGGGGACCAAACCAAATATGAAACGAAATAATACTCAGTTATAATCATGCTTCGTAAATCATTGCTTTTGACCAAAAATATTAAAAAATAAAAAGTTATACTAATAAATCATCCAATCATTTGTTGACAACAATTCAAGTGTCAACAAAGGTGTAAAAAAATGAGTGTAAAAATGGTACAATCCAAATTACATTCTGAAAATAACAGAACAATTATCAAATTGAATTGTGTACATCCAACATCACATCCCCTCAAGTGGAGGATGACAGTGCATTGATGTAATTTGAAGATTCAAAATTAATGTTGATGATGCCACATGATAAAATGTAAAGAATGATGTCAAAGGTAATATACATGTAGCAGGACACTATCAAATTATAGGCATGTGGTGAGGTTGCATGCCTTAAAACCATTGATCACAAGAACATGAAATCTATGCATTCACTTACATATAACCCCTTCATACAATAATAGAATAAAGAATTCTCAATATTCGATTAATTGATAAGATGTAGTTGGGGAAGCACAGAAAAAGATAAGCAATAACAATAAGAGCTTCATGTGTTTCAAGTTTTGTCCAAAACGACATTTTCCAACAAACTTGAGACGAGACAATATAAAACACTAGAGACTTTGCCCATGACTAGTATGGTGTTTCAAACAACAAAGTAAACGGAGCAAAACCAACATCCTGAAGATCCACGAAACAAAATGCGTAACATTTCCCAACAGACTCACTATAACAAACAGAACCAAAAGTACGGTGCAAGAATAATACGACAAGCTTTGCAGACAACTCCTGCAGATTCTTCTTCAATTAGCTCGTAGCCAGAACTGGTAAAATGTAAAACAAAACGTTAGTGAAGACATTCATGATACAATATCATCATAAAAAGACAGTGAAAACCAGAAAAAATTACCTGTGAACAGCTTGGTATGGTCAACAATCTCCAATGACGAATGGCTTTAAAAAGAGAGGTGGAGAAACCCCCTCCCAACAACAGTGGGCAACAAAGGACAGACATGGGGGGGCTTGCAAGAAGAGCTCGACATGAATCGAGCCTAAGAACTAAGAGAAGAACTGAGACACATTTATCTCTACTTTCCTTCCCATATTTCTTTTTAAAAAATCAGAAAAGATGGTAAAGGGAAAGCCACATCTTTGCAGAGCAAAGACTCAAGTCAGATCCTATTTGAAAAGCTAGAGAAAAAAGAAGAGAAGTGAACAGGATAAAGGAGGTAAGAAGATTGAATGAAATCAAGCTAATTCAGACATCCATAAACGAAGGTACAAATAAGAAGCCCAGTATGTTGATATTTAAACTGAAGCGAACAAAGGCAATCATAGAAGAGGCTAAATCAAATATCAGGCTGGGAGAATTGGTTAACAGAGAGATGAGACAAAATCCTATCAAACTTATCAGATTAGGATCATATAGTATGTACAACTTGTATATGACTAAAAATCTAATTCTTAACTGAAAACGAGGGGAAATAAGTTAACAGAATGAACAATGCTACAAGGAAGATAAACTCGAGGTATGGAAATCAATGTGTCATGATCAAACAGAATGCAGCCTCCTCTGAGCAGAACAGATGATTAAGCAGTCAATTTGGTAACCATGCCGACTATCCGTCACCATTTCAATGGATTGCCAGTCATCAATTATCACTTCTGCTTCCAGTACCTTTGCATCATTAATATCCATGTTCAAGAAACAAAAAAGAAATTCTACTGTGCCCAAGCAAACCACCATATCAACTGTTCAGATATCTAAAGATAGTCAACCAACCAGCCATTACAGCTCTTGCACACCACCATCACTACAATTTCCGCAAACCTAACAAAACCACTACAAGCAAGTTGTGCTGCAAATGTACTTTATTCATTATATCTATACATATCCTAATAACTGACTTTGCAAACTAAACCAGTTCCCTTATTCACAGGAGCGCTGACCGCTCCCAGCACATCATTCATCAGAGATATCAAGATTGAGGATGCGACGAAGGGTCTTAGTCGCAGAGTCAGCAGTATCAAACAGATCAGTAGATGAGAAACTATGCCCCCTGGTTGGGGAAGCAGGAGCAGATTTAGCCATAGGCGGCAAATCAAATTCAGGGGATGCTGTGTGCAAGTCAAGTGAAACCGCCCTTTTTGACCGGAGTGAAAATTTCGGCATGGGCAAAGAACTCGGGGGAGGTGAGCAAGAATAAGCAGGTCCAGCCCAACGTTCAGAGAAATGAAAATTATCCTCACAACCCCCGTCTTTGTTATCAAACGTGATCTCAATTGGGATTGGAATCACACTACTTTTCGAGTTCTTTTTCGAGCTTTTGTGGTCTTCATTAACAAAAGTTGACGGGGTTTTGGGTGAAAATGAATTGGAAAACTCCCTTTCGGTAACAGGGGTTGTCGTGCAAGAATTACGCAGGTCTGGAAGTAACCCTGCACCGGACTGGAAAGCACGGCAATTGACGCCCCCATGAGAATTACCACTAGGCAGGGACCCAAATCGAGCCGGTCCCTGCCCACAATTTCTACCATAATATTGATGATGATTCCTATGATGAGCAACAGCAACTAAAGTCTCCATCTCCGTTAATTCACCTAGATCTATCAGTTTGTCCAACTTCTTCCCGATTCACAGATCTTAATTTCTAAGATAATTTAAAAAAAGAAAAAACTGAAATTGGGTTTCCAATACTACGAAACGATGAGAAAATTTAGATCTTCTCCATAACCACCAGAATCTGAGCAGATCAACATTGAATTCAGTAAACACGACCCATACATCGAACATAAATATGTATTTGTCTGTATGCACAAGCACCACCCTCTAACTCTTCAGTTTCTTCAGATCTATTCAAATCACATAAAAAACAAAAAACTGAAAACTTAAACAAAATATACACTCACATTCAAAAAGAACTAGGACGATATACTCATTAAACAAGAAAAAGGACAGAAAATAAAATCGAAGTTGAACAGAAATTACCTGATTATTTGAGTGAAGACTAAGGAAATGGCGCAGATTCGCGAGATGGATGCGTTAGAGTAAGATTTTTTTCTCTCTCTAAAAATGTGAATGTAATAGGTAGTGTAACTTGGAGAGAGAGAGAGAGCAGACAGCAATTGAAGGTTCAGATTTCACAACTTGAAAGCGACTTGATTTTTTCATTTCTCGTTTAAAGCAGATTCTGCGGATCTGAAAAAGAGTCTCAATTGTATTTAAATGTTGCCATAGGCACGGAGTGCTGGAAGATAGGTGATACACCAAAAGTGCCCTTCCAGTGTTTATAAATTCCACCCCAATCTCCAATTTTGTTTAAGTGTGACATTCATTTCTTCAAGTTACTATTCGTGACACATAGGTACCAACCTTTCAAATCCGTACAAGCATGGTCCCCATAGATTTGATAGGTCAAGTTCGTAGATACACAAATAACAAGTTGAAACATGAATACCACACTTAAAAAAGTTGATGTCGCAAGCTAAAATTTACACCTTATAATTACTATCACTCGTATTTGGCGAAGAATAGATGTTCATGTAGGATAGTCTAAAAGGAAATTTTGTGCCATTCATTCTCAACTAGTGATGACAAGCCGCCCGTGACAAAAAAAATATTATATATATATATATATANNATTTCTATCTTTCTGGAAAAGGCAGACAACCCTGTGTGTGACGTGCCCTAATCTTTTCCACTTCTATTTTCTCTCGTCAGGGACGGATCCAGGATTGGATCCAAGACCGGGCTATAAAATTTCAAACCAGGCTACTACGTGGAAAAAAAAATTTACACATAAAAAATTGGTTTTTAACAACCAAAAAAAAAACCTCTTGGGCCTGGGGGGTATAGCCCAGCCCCCCTTAAATCTGTCTCTGCCTCTCACACTGTATCGGAAGCCGATGAACTACCAAAGACTATCGTGTGCCAAGTAGTGAAGGATAAGCTATCACAGCTTTCTAAGGATTCCGAAGTCACCGTTCTCCGGGAGTCTCTTCAGGGCTTCCGTTCTCGTGTGACATTCATTTCTTCAAGTTACTATTCGTGACACATAGGTACCAACCTTCAATTCCGTAAAAGCATGATCCCCATAGGTTTGATAGGTCAAGGTCGTAGATACACAAATAACAAGTTGAAACATGAATACCACACTTAAAAAAGTTGATGTCGCAAACTAAAATTTACACCTTATAATTACTATTACTCGTATTTGGCGAAGAATAGATGTTCATGTAGGATAGTTTAAAAGGAAATTTTGTGCCATTCATTCTCAACTAGTGATGACAAGTCGCGGGGCGGGGCTGCCCCGCTCCGAACCCGCCCGTGAAAAAAAAAATAATAATAAATAAATAAATAAATAAATATATATATATATATATA